ATTTATAGGGCTGGGACTTTTATCCGGGAACCGGATTTGATCCGAGATCCGCTCCGGATCCGCTCCAAAATTAGGATATCCGGGGGTGCCCGGATCCAAATCCGGATAGTAAAATCTCGGATCCGTGCAAACCGTATCCAGATATCTTAATTTTTAGGTCCGGATTCGGATCTGTATTTTAAAAAATATATTAATTTTTTATTTTATTATTAATTATATCTGATATATAAATATTATACATAAAATAAGTTTAATAATATTCTACTTTTATATTTATAATATTATATGTCATATATATATATATATTCAAAAATTATGCTTAAATTTTAGTTTATATATTAATTTTAAAATTTTTGATTTTTTTAGTTTTTTAATTATTTGTACGGATCCGAATCCGAATCAGAATACTCGGGGATATCATAATATCTAGACGAATATCCAGAGCCCAAATATCCGAAAGACACGAATCCGGATACTAAAATCACGGATGTGCCAAATCTGGATCCGGATACTTCAAATTTTTTGGATATCCGGATCCGTCCCATCCCTAAGTACTTATGAGATTTTGGTTCGGTTTCAGTTATGGGTACCCATTTGATATGTGAATCAAATATATATATATATATATATATGCAAAATATATTAGTTAATATGTTAATTAAAATTGTCTGCTGTTTACACGCTTATATTCGTCAATCCAACAAGAGTTTGAGTCAATAAAGTGTTGATTTTATAAATATTTACTGTATTATAATACAGAAATATCATGTATATTAAATATAAGTTAATATATAAAAGATAACTCGGTTTAGTGGAACTTGGTCTAGTGATAATAATGTTCTCACTCTTTTTATCCAACATGGGTTCAAGTGAGTTTTAAGCCATTTTACCTTATATTAAAAACTTAAATTTTTATTTTTCGGATATTCGGGTACCCGTCCGGTTCCGGTTCGGGTTTTTGGATATAGGAATATAGGAACCATTCGAATAGTTGAAGATTATGGTCCGATTTTGGTTTTGGGTATTTTGGTTCGGTTCATGTTCGGTTTTTGGTTCTGGTTTTTTTTGCCTAGGCTTAGTAGCCCATGCACCATTGCTCGCTCGTCCATATGATTAGCTGGTTGTACAGCCCGTTCATGATCATTTTGCAAGCTGTTCCATCACGTCTTTGGATCATGCTATGGTCGAAATTCAATGTTGCTGGCTGGTACAGGTTGTTCCAAGATCGTTTCAAGAGCTTCCATCTTCTATCGGCCCAATAGTTCATGGATAAGAGGTCTGAGCTCTGTGAATTGCTAATGACCCACATTAAACACTAACCAAGCTGGTACACACGTGACCTTTAAATCCTTGAACTTCACATTGATCCAGGTCGCATCAGGCCGCTTCCAACTCTTGCTGCCCACCAGACATGAACTATATACCTAGATAGATCAAATAACATCAGATCTCTTTTTCTTTTTTTTGTAACATTAATAACATTAGATCTCAAAACATAGTTTCTTCAGCTAAAAAGAAAGGAGGTGGTCAGAAACCGAAAATATCATTCACAAACGTACACACTTTTCGGCATAAGATTGGAGTTTTCTTTGAAACGTTCAGACTTGCATAACTCTATACTACCAAATTTGAGTTTAGTTATATAAACGCTCAAAATACGAATCTTTCGGACTAAATCGGTTATGGTTTTAAATACTTTTTGGTTTATTTCTCGCATATCTATCTTATTAAAGTAGAAGTACTTTAACCTTTTGTTTGGAAACATGGATAGCAGTATTTAAAATAAGTAAGTTTGGAAACATAGATATCAATATTTAATAAGATCTGGTATTTATTGTTACAAAGATTTGCTATTTATTTAAAATCGTAAATATAATTAATTTTAGTCACTAACAATATTTAAGAATATTCGTNTATTTAATAAGATCTGGTATTTATTGTTACAAAGATTTGCTATTTATTTAAAATCGTAAATATAATTAATTTTAGTCACTAACAATATTTAAGAATATTCGTTTTTAACAATAATTCGGGTCGGATTACGGGTCGGATTTCCGGGTATTTTTATTTCGGTTTGAATTTCGGGTCGAATTTTTTGGTTCGAAAAATTGAAACGGACACAAATAAATTTATATAGATAAACAAACAGTTTCTATGTTTCTAGAACTAAAAAAACTAAGAACGTAAAGAACCCAATAAAAGCTGAACCGAAAATCACAACCCAGTCCTATTATATTCAATATGATAGTTCACATACAACGTGGATCACAATATCTTAAACACAGTAATAATCGATGAGTTCTGAATTTATTACATTTTCTCAAATTAAGTTAAACCCGCGCCGGTGCGCGGGTCAAGATCTAGTCTATCTTATTAAATCAGAAACATTAAGTTGGATCTAACATTTATTTTGTAAGTTTTTAAATTAAATACATCTTTCTACTTTATAGTTAAACCTACATTAAATCATTAATATTCTTTTCCTTATACTACTATTCATGTTTCTAAACAATACATTTATTTCTTTATACTACTATCCATGTTTCCAAACAATATACTCATTTCTTTATACTACAATCCATGTTTTTAAAAAACACTATAACTAATCTTATGTCCAAACAATACAAAATATTTGATCTTACCATTTTTAATAAATTTTCATAATTTTCTTTCAAACTATTTAGATAAATTAAAAAAATTAAAATATTATATAAACAACGAAAATAAACTTATTTTTGTACAGATTTAAATATTACATATCAGTTATACATCGGTTCAATCGGCTAGTCTCAGATTTAGTGATTTCTTAAATATGGATATTTTTAAAAATAAAAATTGAATTATCGGACCATCAATTTAAATAGGTTAACCGCGGTCAGGTTGAATTTAAAAATACTTATTTAAATGGAAATATAGAAATTCTTTCAAATAATCAAAATATTTGTTAAATTATTTATGAATTTTTCATTATAAAATATTATGCGCTTGCAAATCTAAGACCTAAAATTCTAAAAATTTGTATATTACTTTAAGAACTTTGGATAATCATTAAAATCAGAAATAACTAACTCTCAACTTATATTTTCAATGTAAATAGTTAAGTTTGAATTTGATTTTGCACTTCGAACAAATGTACAAAATTAGTATTTTCATTGCACGGTTATATCTACATAATACACTGCTTAATGCTATTAAACTTAATTGAATTGGAAAAATTCTAAACTATATAAAACTAAATTATATAAAATATATCCGAAAAATAAAATCTGCTCAGATCATGATCTAGTGCTAAATTAAATGAAATGAAGAAGCAACTGCTTGCAACTTGCAAAGCCACAAAAATACAAAGTAGGGTCATTATTCTCATTACTGAGCTGAGCATTATAAAAAGATCTCCTTGTCTTCTATCTCCAACAGGAAAACAAACACTTGGACTAGTTTACAGTCACACATTTTCCTTATCAAAATGTAACTTTATTTTACAGTCAATCAATTACTGGCTGGTTAGATTTCATTTAAACCAACCGTTAAACCTAATGCTTAGAAGTTGTAAGCAAACTTAAAGAATAAGAGTTGGTGCTTTGTTTTTTATCAGTTAAGTCGCCTAAGAAGCTTTCAAGGCAAAGCAGAGGAGACGAAGAAAGAAAGAGAGAAAGTATGCAGATTCAGTGCAAAACCCTAACTTTCACAACTTCCTCTATTTCTTGTAACCCTAGGCTGCCATTCACTATAAGGGCATGTAAGCCTCCATTCCCGAGTTTTAGGAGCTCTGTTAAGTCTCATAGGCTTATAAGTAGCTGCTCAAGTCCTAATCAGGAGCTTGTTGTTGACGAAACTGAGTCGATTTCTCCGGAGGTGAATGAGCTTGTAAAAGTTGCGGGTGAGGTGGAAGTAGAAGAAGTGAAGAAGGTAGATGGTTTAGCGGATCAGAGTATTTGGGGGAAGATGAAAGAGATAGTCATGTTTACGGGACCTGCTGCTGGACTGTGGGTATGTGGCCCATTAATGAGTCTCATTGACACGGCTGTGATTGGTCAAGGAAGCTCTCTTGAACTCGCTGCTTTAGGTTATGTCTTAACACTCTGAACATTTGATTTCATCTTATTATGTCTTAGATATGTTCGTCCTATTGCTATTATGTTCTATTCTATTACTATTCTAGTATAGGCTTGCTAAATTTCATTATGGATGAAACAGGTCCTGCAACCGTCGTCTGTGATTATTTGTCTTATACTTTCATGTTCCTCTCTGTTGCCACTTCAAATCTTGTTGCCACCTCTCTTGCTCGCGGGGTTAGTTTTATTAGAATTGCATTTTCAGGAGATTTGTTCGTTTTTCGTTACCAACTTTCCTAATAGAATAGTGGTTATGCAGGATAAAGATGAGGTACAACATCAGATATCCATCTTGCTTTTCATCGGCTTGGCTTGTGGAGTCGTGATGATGGCGTTTACAAGACTATTTGGTTCCGGGGTAGTAACTGGTAACAATAAATATTTTATTTGTAGCTGAACTGTAACAAGTACTACTAAATCAACAGACCTGTTGATGGTTTAGTCTTCTTTCAGCTTTTACTGGGGCAAAGAATGCTAAGATTGTCCCGGCCGTAAATACATATGTTCAGGTTCACACTCTTTCCTATGTTGTAAATTTTTAGTATTTTAATGTTTTGTGGTTTTGGTTGAGTGTGGTGGCTCTATGCATATAGATAGTATGTTTAACCTTTATTAACTTCAACCCATGAGTGTTGTTAATTATTGACAAAAACTTGAATTCTTAGTGACTTTCCTCTTTCTTCCTTTGAAGTGACTATTGTTTTTCTTTTTTCTTTTTCAGATTCGTAGATTAGCATGGCCAGCTGTTCTCATTGGATGAGTTGCTCAAAGTGCAAGGTCCCCTTATACCTCCTTTTCACCTGCACGTTAAAGTTTCAGCATTGTCACACACTTCTGACTGTGGGGCCATAAAAGTACCGAGAGGATTATATATCTCACTGTTACGCTCCATCCTTTGTCTCAGTCTTGGCATGAAAGACTCATGGGGACCTTTAAAGGCACTTGCAGTTTCTAGTGCAATAAACGGTGCTGGTGATCTGGTCTTATGCACCTTTCTAGGATACGGTATAACAGGTGCTGCTTGGGCAACTATGGTGTCACAAGTAAGCTGACATCTATAAGGTTCCAATCAAAGTTATCAATATGGTTTTTAATTCAAGATGTTTTAGGTTGTTGCAGCTTATATGATGATGGACGAATTGAGCAAGAAAGGATACAACGCTTTCTCACTTTGTGTTCCTTCTCCAAGTGAACTCTTAAACATCTTGGGGCTGGCTGCCCCAGTCTTTATGACTATGATGTCAAAGGTTAATACTTCATTTGTATCTAATTAGACAGTCCATTGCAACAAGGTTGTTTTGTACGTAGATGATATTTGTGTTCTCTCCTTTTAGGTTTTGTTTTATTCGCTTCTTGTGTACTTTGCTACATCGATGGGCACAAGCGTCATAGCTGCTCATCAGGTGTTATGTCCTAATATATATTCAACACTAAATATGTCTCCTTATTTGAGTTTGTTCTATAACTTCTTCTGCTTTTTTGGTGTCTAGGTTATGCTCCAGACATATAACATTTGTACAATTTTGGGGGAGCCTCTCTCTCAAACTGCACAGTCCTTTATGCATGAGTTGTTATTTGGAATCAATCGCAATTTGCCTAAAGTAAGCCCGTTGTTGGTGAAAATATACTCAGCTGAGGAAACATTTGGTACATCTTCTTCTTGCTTTTACCGAAAGCAACTCTGTTTTCGCTGTTGTTTGTAGGCCATAATGCTTCTGAAGTCACTCGTTATCATTGGTGCTACACTAGAAATTGTAGTGGGAACCATTGGTACTGCAATTCCATGGCTGTTCCCTGGCATCTTCACACAAGACAAGGTTGTCACATTTGAGGTATTGTTTCTTTTTTCCTTCTTTACATTTTGTCAGGTGTTCATCGAAACGCATTTTTCTTGCTTTATCGGTGTCCAAACAGTTAAAATACATGTTGTGACAGATGCATAAGGTCATAATACCTTATTTTCTTGCTTTATCCATCACTCCGAGTACTCTCAGTCTTGAAGGCACCTTACTGGTAAGTTTGGAATTTTCTGTCCCACAATCTAAACCCTGATTCAAAAGATCTAAACACTGTTGTTGTAAAATGGAGGCTGGAAGAGATCTGAGATATATAAGCTTGTCAACTACTGGATGCTTGGCCGTTGCTGGGATTTTACTTATGGTAATCACTCACTCACTTATAGTCTCGGTCTCCACTCTTACTAAATTCAAATTAGATTTCTGTCTGTAACTCTATCTCCTTTTGGCATTGTCTACAATTGACTAAAAGCTTCTGAGCAACGGAGGATTTGGCTTGAGAGGCTGCTGGTTCGCTCTCGTGGGATTCCAATGGGTAAATGTTTTTGCTACAACTTACTAAGCCTTATAACCCAAACCACACACACAGCTTTTGCTCTTCTTAATTCTAATATGAATCAATTCAGGCTCGGTTTTATCTAGCCCTTGTACGTCTTGTTTCCCGAGATGGTGTACTTTACTCGGAAGATACAAGCAGGTATGCAGAGATAGTGAAAGCTGCTTAGCTCAGGTTGTCACCATATACCTCACAAGAAAAAAGTATAAGGGAATAGAAAACAGCTTCATTCATTTAGTTGTAGATCAATGACACTATGTTTGAGATTGTATTCTTGAAGAACAGAAAAAGTATCACGGTCTGACTGCAACAGAACCAGTTGCTTCTTCTAAATGCAGAATCATATTGTAACAACCCCAATTTCTACCTTAAGAATTGTTATCATGCTAAACCCAAATATTGGCCTATAAATACCCAGCTCCCACCCCATTAGTTTATTTTGTTGCCAAATCCAAGAGAGGGAGAGTTAGAGAGAGAGAGTGAGAGAGAGAGAGGAAGAGATGGAGAAACCCTTAGTTCTGAGCCACCACCGGAGCCGCCTCACGCCAGGACCACGTCCAACTCATCACCACCGTGCGCAACCGCCAAGGTAACCCGGAAACCGCCGGAAAACCACCATGAAGTTAAGCTTTGTTTTGTCCATTTAGTAAATCTTCAATAACTTCTGAACCATTGAAAATCTCGTGCATGCAAGGCCACCACCGTGTTCTACTCGTCGGGACGAAGCCGTAGACACCAAAAACGCCTCAATCGGAGCTCAGATAAAGCCGCACGCGCCTCTGGAAGTTTGGCCGTGCACGCGCGTGAAAAACAAGCGCCGCCGCCGGGAATCGTCTCCGCCGCCGTGCTCTGCTGCCGGACCGCCGTGTCGCCGCCGCCAGACCGCCGTGTCGCCGCCGCCGGACCGCCGTCCCTCCGTCGCCGGTGACTCGGTCAACTCGGTCGAGTCAACTCGGTTGACTCGGTCAACCGGTTGGTTGACTCGGTCAACCGGTTGGTTGACTCGGTCAACCGGTTGGTTGACTCGGTCAACCGGTTGGTTGACTCGGTCAACCGGTTGGTTGACTCGGTCAACCGGTTGGTTGACTCGGTCAACCGGTTGGTTGACTCGGTCAACCGGTTGGTTGACTGATTTGACCCGGTTCAATCCGATTGTGATTTGGTTAAGGTAAACCGGTGGTTAAAATCAATTGAATTTTGGTTAGGAGTAAACCGATTTGTAATTGATTTGGATCCGGTTCAATTGAAATCGAATCCGGTTAAGGAAAACCGATTGGTCCAATTCGATTTCAATTTGGTCAAGGGTTGACCGGCTTGGGTCAGAGTTGACCGGGTTGACCGGGTTGACCTTTGACCAGCGGGTTGAGTTTTCCATAGACGCCCGTTTTCGACCGTTCGAAGGTCACTCTGACTCGTAATTTCGATCTGATTTCAGATTTGGGATCTATTTGAGCAGCTGGAGTTCATAGATACAACTTTTCCCCAGTTGCTAAGGTGAGGGTCTACTTCCGAACGATTCGTACGCGACTTAGAACTTTAAATAAATATAATTTATCTCTAATGTGTTCCGTCTTTGTGAATTAAGTCTAATTTAGGGTCTGATTGGTGTCTGATTGTTTAAGATTAGAATTGTTTGCATAAACCGAGATTATGGTGTCAGATGGTTCAACGTTGATTGCTTCGCTTAATGTAAATTAGTTAACTAGAGTTGTTTGGCCGAATACAGAGACGGACTTCTGTATGTCGGATTGTATGTGGGGACTACGGACGGCTTCAGTCGACCGGCCGGGTCGTAGTCTAGTGCGGTCGATAAATCGTCTTCGGGCGGTGTTACTGGGCACTATCCCAGCGTGTAGTCCCGCTAGCGGTTAGCGGGCAGCGAGTGCGCGACTCGCTAGGACCATTGTTTGCTTGCTTGGGTGCTTTAGGNTCGATAAATCGTCTTCGGGCGGTGTTACTGGGCACTATCCCAGCGTGTAGTCCCGCTAGCGGTTAGCGGGCAGCGAGTGCGCGACTCGCTAGGACCATTGTTTGCTTGCTTGGGTGCTTTAGGTGCCATGCTTGTACATATTAGATTTAAATTATATTTATTTGGAGTGCTATGTTCGGGTCTACGGACTTCGGGGTAGCATCCCATACCTCACTGAGTGACTTACCAGTCGCTCACCCCTCTTTCTTCCCATTTCAGGTGAGACAAGCAATAAGGTGATATTTGGACAGACTTGGTGCTATTGGGCTTTTCTATTCGGATTTTTATTTGGGTTTGGCGAGTGTAATTGGACTTTTGGGTTATTATGTTTCGAGATATTATGGGTGGCCCGTCGTCCTAGAGAGAGGGAGACGGGTGGCACATTATTATTTGTTGACGCGTCGGGGATGACACGTTGTACTCCACGTAGGAGGTGAGGGTGTTACAATTTTTGGTATCAGAGCGGGTTCCATTCCGGTCTGTCCCGGGATGGCGGTCAGGGGATTCGGTTTTCAAAGATTTCAAAAAGAATATATATATATATAATAGTAAAAAAAAGTATTTTGAAAATTCGTTTAGCACCATTTTGTCCAGTAACCACTAACTTCAATTGTCTCTTTTTATGACGATGAGTAAAATCATCGTCATTCGTCTTTCGGCTACCAGAGATCTACCAGATGTTCAACAGAGATGTGATGCCGCAGTTTTGTCAGTGTTCGCCGAGGTTTATTGGTTTCTTCATTCTTTCTCCTATGCTGTAATGGAGTGGATATGTGACGTTTTTGCCACAACCCAATTTCAAGCCGTCGTCCCACGAGTTTCTGATGTATGAGTTTTTGTGATGTGAGTTTTGAGCCATGGATTGGCGTGTGATGTTTTGTGTATGAGTATGTTGACTATTTTTGAGTTATGCTTTGTTGGTAAACTCGTGGAGATCGCTTTTGGAATTAGGGTGTAGCATCTTGCGTTATGGTTATATTGGAGTTGCATTTGGCATGGTTGCCGGTTTTTGGTGGTGTTGACCTTTTCAGAGATGTGTCAGCTTCGAAAGCTGGCATAAGATGTGGAGATTTATTTATGTTCGTCGAGTGTTACCAGTTATGCTTGGATGGCTAGAGACATTCAGAGATTCGCCAGAGATAGAGCTGAGTTTTACGGCACCAGTTTTGTGATAAAATGATCGTCATGATATCAAGAGGTATTGAGTTGCTAAAGGCAGTGGTTTATATTCCTGAGAGAGATAAGAGTTTTATTGCTTCCACACTACATGTTGAGGAGTTATTGGATACAAGAGCAAATCGACTTTTGAAGACCGTGTGATAATTAAGGATGATGGGCAACAAGAGATGCATGAGCTGCTAGTTATTACATCATATAAGAATGTATTTGAGACCTATAGAAGGGTCACCATCGGATAGAAGACACGTTTATACGATTGAGTTCGAACAAGAGGTAGCACCAGATTCACGAGTTCCATACCGATTAGTGCGAGCAGAGATGACCAAACTGATGAGACAGTAAAAGATTTAGCAGACAAAGATTTTATTAGACCGGACTTTTCGCCATGGAGACCACCAATGTTACTACGACGAAGGAAGATGATATTCTCAGACTTTGTGTAGGCTATAGAGGTTTAAACAAGGTGACATCAAGAATAAGTATCCGCTTCCGTGTATTGATGAGTTGTTGGAGTAGCTGCAAGGAGTTTTATGGTTTTCGAAGGTTGATTTAGCATAGGATTATCACCAGATCCCCATAGCGGAGGAGGATGTGTGGAACATAACCTCCCGTACACGTTATGGGTATTATGAGTTGTAGTAAGAACATTTGTATTGACGAACGCACCAGTAGTGTTCATGAAACTTATAATCGTTGTGTTCTACGAGTATTTGGTTACGCGTGTGATCGTTGTCATCGAGGATATCCTAGTTTATTCTTGGAGCAGAGAAGAGCATGCACAGCATTTGCGGATTGTATTGGGTAAGCTGAGAGAGCACCATATATTAACTAAGTTGAATGAGTGTGGCTTCTGGCAAAAGGAGATTAGATTTTTGGGTCACGAGGTTTCAGAGGCAAGAGTTGTTATTGATCCGGAAAAGATTATTGCAGTCTCAGAGTGGTTATCACCTAAGAGTGTTGCTGTGTAGATCAGTAGATTTGGCGGGATACTACAGGAGGTTCATCATTTTTGAAGATTGACATGGATTCAGAGTACCATCAGATTACCATAGCTGGGAAGTATGTATAGATTACGGTTTCACATATAAGATGGATAATATGAGTTGGAAATAATATTATTGGGTTGAAGACTTCACGGATAGCATTCATGGAACTTAAGGATAAATCCTTTTGCGCACTTGGATAAGTGTGTGGTTGTATTCATCGGCAACACCCTGAATATTGTTGGAGTAAAGAGAAGTATGAGGAGGATATGCAGATTTTGTATTTAATACGAGAAGGTCAGATCATTGTATAAGCAGCAAGTCAGATGGAGAATATGAATATGGAGCATTTTGGAATGGAAGTTAGAGATTTTTGGAGTGATCACCAAAGTTACCTTTGACATTGACTATGAAATATCTATGTGGAGATGCATTAGTGTTGTGGGAGAAAGTACGATTAAGCCACTTTGTACCTATCAGACTTAAAGAAGAGGATTTGTTATAGGTGTCATTCAGGAAGGGAATCTGATCAGAATTTTTTTTTGGATAGAATCCAAGTAGAGATTCAGAGCATGTGTTGTGTCGTCGCTTACTTCAGGTTAAAAGATTTAGTAGAGAAGGCTACCAAGCAGGGAACCAATATGAGTTATAGAGTTGTCTCTGTTGCCACCATCATCATAATGGGAAGTGTATTAAGATTCATGTTGTGGATAGTGGGAGCATATTTTGCTGCCAAATATTAAGTGCGCGATTTGGAGTTAGCAGCAGTTGCATCGGCTTTAGAGTTTGAGGATCATCATTGTATAGCAAGGAAGTTCAGATTCGTGGGGATCATCATAGTCTGAAATATATGTGCGCATTCATTAAACTTGTACTTTAGGACGTGCAGACGGATTGAGTTGGTAGCAGTCTACAATTTGAATATAGAATGATATTTGGTGAGGTCAACCAAGTGGTAAATGCCTTAAGTAGGTACATGAGAGATATGTCAGGAACCACAGAGGATCAAGAGTTACTGGAACGCTTACAAGCTTTATG